ACCCAGCACCCAGAGCCGGGCAGGGGCAGGGAGCGCCCGGCCGGGGGGCTCTGCCCTGCAGCGGGGTCCCTTCCACCCGTGGTCTTTGCCCACAGGTTTCCCAGCTGAGGATGGCACCCGTGGGCAGCCGGTGGGTGCAGGTGGGGGGTAAGAGCTGGCGTGGGGTGACCGCGGGTACAGCTCCCTGTGGGACACATTGCTCCCTCTTCCCACGGGCACAAGGGGCTGGCGTGGGGCTGGCACTGCCACTGGTCCCTGCTTCCCCGTGGTTTCTCCCCCGTGGGATGTAGGCAGCAGGGCAGGAGCAGGGAGGACTGTGCTGGGGGCACCGTGGGCAGCCAGCCCCCAGGCTCACGGCCATGCCTGGCTGGGGGTCAGATTTGGGGGGGCAGAGTGCCTTAGGTCTTGGCATTGAGGGCACAAGGGGACCCGTGGATGGCCATAGGTGGCAGGGCACCTTGGCACTGTGGGGGCTCACCAGAGGTATCCCAAAGCTGGCGGGGAGCTCATCCTTACCGTGCTGCCGCTCAGCGTCCCGAGACTGCCAGCCCCAGGGAAGGAAGGAGGGCTCCGCTCTTCGCTGCCGAACCCGCTGGGCAGCAGTGGCTCAGCTCTCTCCAGAGGAGCACACGGGCAGAGCTTAGCACCGGCAATCCTCGGGCAAGGCGCTCTGGCATGGCAGGCTGGCTGCCGGGACCTCCGTCTCACTGCCGCCACGGGCTCAGGGGCAGCTGGCAGGGCCAAGCTCGCTCTCCAGGGCACTGTATGGCACCTTTGTGGCAAGAACTGGGTGCAGGGAAAGATGGAGACATGGCACTGACGGGCTGGTGCTGCAGGACCAGGAACAGGCTAGTTCTCGCCGCCCAGGTGCCACCCTCCGGTTTGACGTTGGCACTCCCAAGGGTGGGTGATGATGGCTGGGCTGGGGGCTGGGATATGCCCTGTGCCAGCCTGGGAGGGTTCATCACCGGACACGAACCGGTTTGCGGCAGGGAGGTGATAAAATGGGCTGCCCACTCATTGTGTCCCCAGGCACGAAGCTCCCTCCTCACTCGTCAGCTCCTGGCACTGCCCTGTGGCAGCCAGGACGCTCATCCGGAGGGGCAGCCCTGTGCCAGGACACATGCTCTGCCCGCTGCCACCAGCGTGCCCGGCTGCACACTGCAAGGCCACCACGGGTGCTGCCACCCTGCTGGCACAGGCACCTGCGTGGCTGCGGGCATGCACGGGGCAGGACACCGGGCTCAGCACCCAGGGCCTGTGCCAGTCCAGTATGCCCCAGTGCCATCCTCCTATTGCCCTACCGCTACCCCATTCTAGCCCAGTGTTGCCTCTGGTGCAGTCCCAGTATAGGCTAACACTGTCCCACTATGGTGGTGGTGTTGTGCCAGTATGCCTCAGTGCTGTCCCAGTAGAGCCCAGTGTTACCTTCCCTACAGCTCTGGCACTGTTCCAGTATAGCCCAGTATAGCTCTGGTGCTGTCCCAGTGTATCTCAGCACAGCACAGTGATGTCCCCAGAGGTGCCCCAGTCCCCCACATTGGGGACCGAAGGGCAGGTGGCAGCACTGGGGCTCCCATGGGCCCCATGAGCCACATGAGGCCTTAGTCCAGTGCAGCTGTACTGGGGTGACTCGGGGAGTGCTGCCCCAGAGCATGCGCCGTGGTCTGCCCTGGCACCGGTATGGGTGGCTGTGTGGCACACCCAGCCCCAGGCACTCATCTTGCTGTGGGTGCTGCGGGCAGGTGCCTCCATGGGCATCAGCTGGCTTGGGGCCCCGGGCTGGGCTCTTTGTGCCACCGAGGAGGTGCGAGGGACAGAGCCCTGCTGTCCCTGTGCCAGAGGGCACCGTTGCCAGGTGCTGCGTCCACAGTCCCTGCCACGGGCACAGGCAGGGCTGGCAACGTGGCCCCGGCTGTGGGCACTGGACCCTGCTCTGGTCCTGTCCAGTGCCACCCTACAAGCACCACCAGCCTGGCACTGGCTCCCAGGCCCCATGCCCCCCAAATACCCGCCTCCCAGCATATGCACCCTGTAACGCAGCAAGGCCAGGGCTTGCAAATCCTACTGGAGCCCAGCGTGGGATGCAGGGGCACAGCCCTGCACCTGCTGCTGCTAGGAAGAGGCGGGGAGCCAGGTGGGTAATATCTCTGGTTTTAATAAATACATCAGGACCCCCGTCCACAGGCACCATAAATTATGTGATGAGCCCGGCCGAGCCAGGGCGGGCGCAGTGAGACGGGGGGCCAGAGGGATTTTACACTATGTACAAGGCGGGTGGGATGCCCGCTGCACCTGCCAGCCAGGGGGGCTCAGAGGGGGAGGGCAGCAGGTGCCCCGGCCTCCACCAGCCCAGCCGCTGCCCCC